ACCATAAAAATGAATAACAAAATGGTGGCATATATCTATACAATACAATAAAATCCAACAATAAAAATGAATAAACTACAGTGACAGATAATAGAGATGAACTTCAATGATAACATTAAACAAAAGCTAGCTGCAGGGCTAGGGATTTAGCTCAGTGGTTCTGCTGCCTGTCTCACAAGCACAAGGTCCCTAGTTCAATCCCTGGGACCGCCCCCCCAAAAAAGTTAGCTGCAAATCTTGTGATATGGTATAATTCCATTTCTATAAAATACAAAAAAAGTAAACTATATCCATTCACAGGATATAGTTAAGAAAAGCAAAAAAGTAAATAAATTATTAGAAAAGGCAGAAGGCTCTGGGTATATCGCTGTGGAAGAGCACTTGCTTAATACCTGCAAGACTATATGTAAGTTCCATTCCCAGCAAGGCCAAAAGGGGTTGAGACAAATGAGACCCTTACTTATTATTTTGGGGATGCTGGTAATATTCTACATCTTATCCTTGTAGTGAGTAATGTATTTCTTTAAGCAACACATTTATGTACTTCTCACTTAAGCAAACAAATTTAGCAAATGGCAGTTTACACATACTTTAAAGTTTTGAAATAGGAAGAAAATGTTCAACTGGAAAGGGGAATAGAGAGGAGAGAGCAGGAAAGGAAGGAAAAGTAAAAAAAGAATAGAAAGAAAACAATGGAAAAAAGAATCAAGAAATAGCATGTACAGGTACAAATTCCATCTGATGAATGTTACCATTATGCATATCTAAAATATACCAATAAAAATAATTTTAAAAATTAAAAAATAAATTATGTATATTAAAAAAGTGTTGAGTGTTTCTAACATCTAAGGCTACCTGGCCTGTTAGATTTAACATTTCAGCCTTCTGAGTTGTGATTTTAAGGTAGATATTTTACTAAGTTATGTGATGCACTGAAATATTCAAGAACCACATTCATGATTCTACATATTTAAGAGTTTATTGTATTTGTAAAAGATAGTTATATATTTGAAGTTTTAAATCAGAGAGCTGATGTTTTTGAAAGAGAAAATTAATGCACTAAGTAAATACATGTAGTTTATTTGTAAAACATTGTTTTAAATTAAAACACTACCTGAAAGCTCTTTATTGAAAAGCATTTGCTGGGCCAGGGATTTAACTCAGTGGCACCACACCTGCCTCGAAAGCATAAGATCCTGAGTTCAATACCCAGGACCTAAAAAAAAAAAAAGCATTTGCTATATTCGTCAAGAGAAGAAATAAAATTACAAAGTTTGGCTTTAAAAGACTAAGAAAGAACTAAATCTTTAGATGCTATTGTTAAGAAATCATACAATTTCTAAGAGCAAAAGAGCAAATTTCATTTTCTTTTTGAGACTGAGTCTCACTATGTTGCTCAGGGTGGCTTTGAATTCCTGGACTCAAGAAATCTTCCTGCTTGAGCCTCTGAAGTAGCTGAGACTACACCTATATGCCATTCCTCACACTCTGCTGGCTGCAAACTTCTAAATAATCTTTTTCTACCAAGTTGTTCAGAAGATGTAAAACAATTCACATTTAACAAAATACGCCAGAAATTTTAAAAGTTAATAATCAGAATTTTTCTAGAGTTATAATCAAAAATCTCTTGAAAGGTTATGTGTCATTACATTACTTTCAAATATTCTTTACTGTTTTGGAACTAGGGCCCACAGACCAATCTGAGTATAAATGCTACAGAATTCTCAGAAAAATGTACATAGTTATACACATAAAATTTTTGGAAGCCACACAACAGTCAAAAATCTCCTGAAAATGCTCATGCTCTATTGTTCTAGAGGCCAATTATGAAAGTAGAGGTTTTTGTCTACTGAAAACATAATCATATTGTATGTAATTTATTGTTTTAAATCAGAAAGCTAATACTTTTTTTTGGAGACAGGGTCTCCCTATGTAGTTGAGGGTGTCCTTGAACTATGTAGCCCAGGCTGGCCTCGAACTTGCAGTAATCCTCCCGCCTCAGCCTCCTAAGTGCTTGGAACACAGGCTTATGCCACCACACCTGGCAGAAACAAATACCTTTACGATCAAAAGTTCCTGTTTTGTTTCATTTGTCACTTAGAAATGAAAAGATACTTTTTATTAAATAAGAAAAGTTTTGTTTGTTGAGAAAATATATGGACAAGTGTAAGGTTAAGTCAGCCTCATACACTGCAAGTACAAGTGTACTATTCCTAAGCTTTCTGAATAACAATTTGGAAATATATAAAGCCTCAGCTCTGTGAGCAAAATCTAACTCTTCGACTTAACCAATTCTAGTACTAGAAATTTACTCCAAGAAAATAATTTTGGATGGACAAAATTTATAACAAGAATGTTCATCAAATGCCAAAATTCAGGAGATAAAATGCAAACTATCAAAAAATGAACCAACTGTGCTATGATTGAAAAATCTGCAAAAATTTAAAGTATATTTAACCATAAAGAAAACATATGCATTGAAACATTACATGGTATCTCATGTTATTATGTAGAGTATGTACTGTTTTTAATGTATCAACAAAAGTAAATTTAATTTAAAAAAAAGCATATTTAAGAATATTTAGTGGAACAAAAATGCTCATGGATCTATTGCTAAGAGTGTAATTTCTATGTAACATGATTTATCTTTTTAATGTAAAAACATCTATAAATAGAAAGCAAAACTAGTGGGCATATGACAAATTTTGAATGTGGGAAAATTTTATGTATTTTTTGTTTAAAAATTTAGTAACAAAAACTTCAGCAATTTATTAAATTATATACACTTTTTTATTCATCTTGGCTTTTGGCCTAATCTAAAACCAATGAGGCATCAATTCTACAAGCTTTACTTGTTAATACTAATGTTTGTCTAAGCAATGAAAGGTACTCAGTGATTTGTGATAATCAAGAAAAACTAAGGTGGTAGATATCTCCTCCTAAAGGACCAAAAAAATTAGGAAACTAGGAGCTACTAATGAAAGATCTAGAACTGAACTTGGCTGGCCCTCAAAATAGAAAAATAAATTCCCATTGCTCTAAGAGTTACCTACCTTTTGCTTCAGGGAATTCTAGTTCATGATTTGGAATTTTACTAATGTTGATTGGCTTCTGTCACATCCAAGTTTAAAAATAAATTACGTAGCATTGAAATGTTAGTCTATAGAAGACTGCATTCAAATTTAAAACTGACCTGGGATAATAGGATTAATATATTATAGTGAACACTATCTTATAACTATACTGAAACAAAAAGAGAAAGAAATGTAAGAAGCTTTTAAAAGTAGCTGTCTTTAGGGCTGGTGATTTAGCTCAGTGGTGCCACACCTGCCTCACAAGCACAAGGTCCTGAGTTGGATCCTCTGCCATACCCACCACCCCGTCCAAAAAAGTAGCTGTCTTTAAGCGATAATACCACAGATGACTTCTCCCACTTTTCGTGTGCGTGTGTGTGTGTGTGTGTGTGTAGTACTGGGAAACAAATCCAGGGCCTCATACATGTTAGGCAAGCACTATGCTGCTGACTATAAACATGTGAGACATTTCATTAGGGACAAAAAAATCCAAAACTACCCTTTGGACTAATAGGAAGCTACATGTGTGTTCTTAAGAAAAGCTTGTTTAATAAATTTAATAAGCCATCATCATCATCTCATAATTAAATAAGTAATATCTAAAACAGATATGAGCTATGTCATCATTCTAATATATTCTGAAGCACAGTAGGAAATGCTAGTTGTGGAAAAGTTTTTTTTGTCTCATTGTTATAAAAATACATCAACATTGCTGACTAGATTTTTTAAAAAGCCAATTAAAGAAACTTGCATATTTCAATCAAGAATTTAAAAAATTAAGAGAAAATTTAATAATTCTGATATAAAGCAACCCATATTCTGACATGAAAGCTATCATGAACTTGAGGTAATATTTTATAATTTTCTCCTAGTGGCAACCAATAGAAAATACAATACTAAATTTCTAGTTGCCAAATAAAGGATGGATTTTGCTTCCTAAAGAATTATGAAAATTTACTTTTCATGAATTTTCTAGTTCACTAATTCTAAATGTTCTACTTTGATGACTGATTTACATTTAAAATAAATAATTGCTTTAAATATAATTGGATATATGAAAAATTTAATGTAGGTTCAATTGTGAAACTTGTGATCAAACTAACTTTTCTTGTATTTATGTATCATGGTAATTGCTTAGATAAGACAAATAATTAAACTTAAAGAATTATAGCTGAAAGGGACTCTAGATATTACTAGCCTTCCCACTAGGAATTGTTTTAATTTTTTTTTAATGCCTAAGTGCTACTTGCTATGTACTATGTCTTCCAATTAAAAAACAATTGAGCAGGTTAACACAGTGTGTACCTTATTCAGAGGTAGTTGGAGACTGAGCCAGAAGGATTTGAGGTGGAAGCCAGCACAGGCAATTTAACAGAAAAAAAAAAAAAATAAATAAAAAAAAAAAAAAAAAAAAAAAAAAAAAAATCTGATCAGGCCTTTTGAAAAACTGAAAAAAAAAACAAAACAAAAAAACTAATGTAAGTACTTTTCTGTTATCTAATACTAGGGATCAAGAGACCTAGCTTGGGAATGATCCATCTAATCTAACCTTATAATTTCACATAGAACATGGTCCAGGGGACCAGGGATTTAGCTCAGTGGTGTTGTACCTGCCTTGTAAGCACAAGGTCCTGAGTTTGATCCCTGGTACCAGGGAAAAAAAAAAAAAAAAAAAAAAAAGATCCTGGATAAAAAAGTTAATCATGAATGGGAAAAATTATCTTTTCACATACATTATGTTGACCAATGTGGTGCTTCTAGAAAAACTATAACCTGTGAATAGTGACCTGGTAATTTATATCAATGAAACACAACCTCAAATGGACTGTTTCTACCAAAAAATAAGAAATGCTTCACATTATAGACATTATCATTTTCTTTAAGTCTTTTTTTATTTAGAGATTTTTCCGGTAAGGAGATATACCATAGGAAAACAATTTTCACTGGCAGTGAGGTATGTATATACTCTACCAAAATACTCCATATTTTAATTGTTTTTAAGTTTATTTACATATGAGGGAAAGTATCAATGCATACTTGATTGATGCACTGGTTCGACTACAATATTACCCAAACTACATGAAATTAAATGAAATGGTGCTTGCATACAAAAACTGTTATTTGTAAAGGAATCTAAGTTCATATTAAAAGAACTGATTTGTTTTTTGAAAGAACTTAAAAGAATAATCACAATTTATCATGACCAAGACACCTGCACCATATTTTTCCATTCCTCACAGCACATTTATTTCAGTAATTCCGTTATGTCGGTTCTTAGCATGAGCATAGTGTTACACAATTTTCGTACATATAACCACATCCAAAACAAGTTCTAAAATTTAAATTGTAAACATTCTCATCATATGTAGAAATATTTTAATTGGTGTATTAAGTTTTGCTAACTGATCAAATTTGGAAGATAATATAAATGAGAAAGCCTATTCTAAATTGTGTAGTATCTTTTATTAATTACATTTCTACAATGTTAAATAAAGAGGCAAACCTGTCCTGTAAGCATGTCAAATTTTAGGTAAAACATTAAAAAGAAACAAATCTGTTAACAAAAGGATGTCTTGCAATAAAGAACATTAGATTTTTTAAATCTATTATGATACAAAAATGTAAAGGGTAAATAGCATCTTTGTTGACAAAGTAGGAGGTAGCATGGATGCACCACTTTATTGTCTGAGAAATGCAATTGGAGTAAAGAATATTTCCTTACCACAAATAATTTCCAGGACTATGTACATATTTCTTTTAGAAATACTTGTTTAAACAAATCTCCCTCCACTTTTTAGTATAAAAAAAAACCGTTCCATGTGATTTTAAAAAAACACTTACACATCTAGATAGAATATTACTCTGCCCTATTTGAGTGAACAGTCTCAAACTATGAAGTACATGATATTTAATGCCCTAAGTTGAGTAATTTAGTTAGCAATTCCTGATATTATACAAAACACTAAATACATACAAACAAAATATATAATATTTTATTTTTCTATGCAAGTCTTATGGGGAATAAACAGAGCCTTGATTCTGGTAACACTGCAGAAAACATATTTTTCCAATAAGTCTGTCTATACATATCCATGTGCAACAGTTTATAAATGGCTGTCTACATGTAAGATCTTTTAATAAGTGAATTGTTAACTAACAAAACTTAGTAAACCTTAAAAACACATCTTCTGTCCTATGTAAAATATATAGACTACTTACTGTTTTAAGTATTCAATTTGCTCTGATGTCAGTGTAATTCACTTTTCCCCATTTTCCTGCTTTAGTATTTATAAACGGATAATTTAATGTGGCTTACAAAAAAAAAAGACAAAGAATTTCAAATTTACATCCCATTCAAATTTTCTATTTAAAAGTTTTCCTGGTTCTATGAAGCTGCTTCTGCCATTAGTAGAGAAAATGAAGTTTCTGTAATGGAGGCAGGCTTTTTAAGTAGTGACGTGACTTCCACCATGCCAGCTCCAGTCCGTGGAAGATTAGCGTTTACAATGTGTCGTTGTAAGTGCTTAATCCAGTCTTCCTGAACAGACAATGGTCCTCGAAAGACGAGGCCACAAAACCTACAGAAGAAGGTTGATTACAGTTTTCTTAACACAACCAATCCCACTTAAAACCAATTCACATAAAATCCATAAACATAAGCAATGAACAGCACTATATACAGTATTACATATAGCACTGGTCTGGCAGTTTCTAAATAAAGTTGAAGTGATTTAAAACCAGATCAAGACTCTCAATTTCTATGTTTATTAACAGATATAACAAATTGCAGTATTTTTTCAGAGGTGGAAACATTTTTAGGTTAAAATTAACCAAATGATCTCAATGTCTCCACATCTTATCCATTTATAACTATTACTCCAAAAATTTTCATTCTAGGGCCAGGAATTTAGCTCAGTAGTGCCACTGCCTACCTCTCAAGCACAAGGTCCTCAGTTCAATCCTTGGTACCAAAAAAAAAAAATTTTTTTTCATTCTAAAGACCCTTCCTCAATTGAGAATTCTTACACTAAGGTGTTTATGCATATTCTTGTGGTGAATGTTTGCAAAGAGGTATATGAGAGGAAATATGTTCCCTAATAACCAGTAACTTAAGACAGTAAAAATTAAACCAAACCAAATTAAAACATAGCAACTACAGGGCTGGGAGTGGTACTGTACCTGCCTGGCAAGCCAAGGGTCCTGAGTTCAATCCCCAGTACCACACACACACACAAAAGCCACTTTTATAAATCATAGAATGTAGTCTCTTGGCTAGTAGATAAAGCTTGAATCATTAGAAGTAAACTATACTATATTTTGAGCTAAAGATTTTAAGCCTGCCTCCAAAAGTTCATTTCTAAGTTGATACTGAGAATACACTCTGTTACACATTAAAAATCTTCAATAAACTGTCTCAAAACAAAGTCTGAAGAAACCGATCAATTGGGCAAAATAGGCATATACCTGCATCGAAGAATGTAAACCTCGTCAGCACCGTGAGGTAATGTTAACATTTTCTTCTTGCTTCCAGATCTTGACCTCGACTTCTTTTGCTTACAGTCTAAGGCTAAAAGGGGGAAGAGAAAATTTTAACATTCTTTATGTATTTTACAACATACAAAAATATAGAGAGGTGAGAAAACATACAAAAATATATAGAAGTGAGACCATCTGCCATCAATTTAGAATTAAGTTTTCATTAAGTTTCCTATTCCTTGAGTCATGCAAAAAACTTGTAGCTGATTCTTTAGCAGCAGTAATGTTATCTGCATAAAATTATCCTGTACTGTTTTTTTCAAATAATGCTTTCCTGTACCAAACTAAACTGAGAAAATCTAATAAACTGGAAACTCCTCAATTGGTCAATAATTACAATAAGGGTAATCTTTACTCTGATCATACGTAATTTTAACACCTGGTTAAATCTTATTTCCAGGAAAATTATAACCTTCTATTTAAGGTCATTAAATTAAATTTGCATTTGATTACACCATTAAGTAGGTTTCACAAGCTTTGAAAACTCTATAAGGGAATATCAATAATATAATAAAAAGCACAATGAAAAATCAATTTTCATAGCAATTCAAAGAAAAAAAACTCGATGTTTTAACTTAATTTCTATTAAATGTACAATCATGCAAATGTGTTTATTAGAAAATAAATATAAATCCATTATCTCATGTATGTTTATAACAGGAGCTGATGTTTAATGCTATTTCTACATTTTTTCATTTTATATTTTCTCCAACAGTAAATTTTTATTTTGTTTTTTGTTTGTTTTATTTTTTTGAAATAGGGTTTTGCTATGTAGTTCAGGCCACCCTTGAACTCACTGTATAGCCCAGGCTGGCCTCAAACTTGCCGCCCCAATTCTCTTGGCTCAGCCCCCAGAGTGCTGGGATTACAGACATGCACCACTATGCCCAGCAACAGTTTATTTTAAAAATATGATTAAAAGAGACAAAAGAAGATTTTAAAATACCAAAATAAACCAAAATTTTACTGCTGCTCTTGAGATTTCCCATCATTTGACTTTTAATTGTCTTCTCAAAAAATCAATTAATAAAGGAAAATATTTTTATATGTTGAAGCAAATAAGATATAACATTTCATAAGTCTTTGTTTGAATACAGCTACACCATTCCTTTAGACAAAGAGAAGATAGTAATCTAGGGTTCTGCTTATCAATTAGCAGGAAGAGAAGGTAAGAGTTTATTTCTAGGGATCCAAAGGGGAGGCATACAAATGCAACAAGTTATTCAAATGACTTTTCTTCTTTTAATTCTGCCACATGAAAATCCCTGAAAAAATTTTAAGTAAGAAAGAACAGGAACTGACTATTCAATGATTCTATGAAATGAGTTGTTCAAAGTACAGACTCCAAAAGAATAGATGCTACCATTACAAAACCAGCAAACAAGGTTCCTTACAGTATTCAAGTGGCAATGCTAATAGAAATGCCACACAGAAAACTAAAAACCATAAGAAGGCTAAAAATCTCATTCAAGCCACCGGTATCAGCTGTCACCTGCTTGTTGAAAAGTAAAATGTAGGATCCAGTCTTTTTCTGCGTAACTTTAGAACAAGAATATAATAAATAAAGAATATTGGAAGTCAAGTAATAAAGAATATCTAACTCAAAGCTAAACAACCAAAATCTGGAATAGAAAAATCGTACAAGGTTTTCACTAGTTATCTTAGTCAAGAGCCTAGTACACAACAAGAACTCTACAAATTATTCTGGAGTACAAATAAAGCAAAAAACCCAGTTACTTAACCACTGACATTCCACCAGTACCCAAGTAGAAATCTTACTAATACAGGTAACATAACTATCTATCCCCTCTGCACCATTTGTTTAAGTATGTTGCTATAGCCACACATTTGTCATTATCTTAGATATAAATCAGAAACCAATCTAGTGTATACATAGCTTGGTTCTTCACAACTACAAAGTACCTTGTTCTTTTTTCTTGTTGCTCCAGTGAGCACTTTAAATTTAAGTGGATTTTAAGTGATTTACATACTGAAAATAGAATTCAGGAAACTCAAGGGGTGAATGGTATTAGATGTCAGTTACTTTTCTACCTATAAGGTAAACCATACACAATCCTTGCTTCTATAATGTAAAACAGAGCAAGCATTTGGTTTATAAGGAGATTACAGGTAGAATCTTACTCTGATTAGCTTGCTGGGTGTCAAAAGTGCCACACTGCATTCAAATTCCTTTTAAAATGCAAATAAATTACTATAAGATGCAGAGAGAATACAACAACTTTTAAAAGCAGTGTTCACAGAATGCTAATGTTAGGGGTATAAAGCAAATTGAAAGAGAATGGGATAGTGAGAAGTATGCAAAAGAATGTTTTAACATTTATAAAACATATACATTACTTACAAATGCTGTGATACTACTTTACAATGAAAATGGACATATTTACTCAAGTGAAAAAAATATTTTAACTTCTTTAATAGAGAGGAAAGTAGTATTGTCTAAAGGTTTGACGCTGTGCAGATTAGAAATTTAAATTTAGGCTGTTTTACAAATGATCAAATATAAATTTTAAGGGTGAGTATCATGGTTTTTATAGTAATTAACATCTAAATGTATTATGTTAGCCGGGGATTTAGCTCAGTGGTTCTGACGCCTGCCTTGCAAACGCAGGAACCCAAGTTTGCTCCCCCCAGAAAAATGTATTATGTTAGAAAGGAGGACAACTCTGCCAGCATGTGACAACAGTTTCTGGTAGCTAGGGCTCCCACCAGGGTTAAAAAATCTCATTCTTTAGAATCTTTTCCATAAGGTTAAAATATAAAAAACCTGAGACTCTTGGTAATTAAACCTAAATGTCTCAGTGTTGTTTTAGTATCTTCATTATTACTTTAAAATTGCTTCTCTGAAATATCTTCTTTCTAATAGGTGAAACATGAATCCACTTAACAGGAAGTTTCTTTTCTAATACTAATATCTAACTATACCTCTAATACTGCCTAAACATTTAGAAAAATTTGTAAAAAAAAGTATACTTAACATACTATTAACAAGTACACAGGAGACATATGTGTCCTCTACATAAAATATTATTTACACAAAATTATCTGCTATTAAATGAAAAAGATGATGTACAAACCTATGTATTACACAAAAATTCTCATTTAATGGATTTTGTATTTAGAGGTAGAAACAAGAGTTCCTATGACGTTAAACGTAGAATGTATCACTAATATATTCAATTTTAGTAAAATGGATCTCCTCAATATTTGTGACAAATAGCCAAAGGTAAAAGAAGTTGTTTCTATGAATAATATACCAAATAAACAACTGTTATACAAAGTCATTCTGGGTTTTATTTGTACTAACTAGTGTTGAAGGAAAAAAAACCCTCACATCTGTTTTGATTTCCAAAGTATTTTAAATATGCAAAACTACTTGAGTTTTAGAGCTTCTTAGTTTTCTTCTTGACTATAACTGCTTCTGTAGAAAGGAAGGAATCCACTCAACCTCAAAACTTCCTCCACTCAAACCTTCTGCCCATTTAGGGTGCAGAAACTATTCAAGTGATACACTTCAGAGAAAACTAAAAAATCTGTGAAGTTCTCTAATTTTTTTTTAAAGATTTAAACTGCTACTAGGAATATGTGTGAGGAGAATATGAGCTGTGAGTACAAAAAAATACTTTTCAGTAAAACAGCTGTTTTGGTTAAACAGAAACAAGAAAGTTAAATACAACAGACTAAATTCTAAGAAAGAATACTGTCCTGCTACGCTATTAAATATAACATGTCCAGGGCTGGGGATTTAGCTCAGTGGTTCCACCATCTGCCTCACAAGCAGAAGGA